TAATAATGATGATATTATTATTATTAATTAAATTATAAACAAAATTTATTTGTAAACTTAAGTTAAAATTTTTTTCCACCCACCACCACGATTAATAAAGCACCCTGAGAAGTCTAGGGTCCTTTCAGTTCTGCCCTCAACTATCTCAAGCTGAAATCAATGTCTTGGAGATGAAGAAACCTCATCACCAACATCGCCATCAGCAGCAGCAGCAGCAACAATATCATCACGTAGTTATCCAAAATGATATGATGTTAAACAACAACAACAATGTTCCACATTTCAACGCTGCTAACTATAATATTACAGACATCTATGCCAAACAACAACAACAACAGCAATTATCTATTTGTTGCGATGCTAATGCCGGCCAGCAACAACAACTTTTACATTACCATCATCTGCAACAACTTCAACAGCAGCAGCAACAGCATCAGCTACAGCAGCTTTCAACCTATGACCAATCAATTGAGATGGTTGGATCCTAATTATTCAGATTTTTTTTTACTCTTCAAATGAATGCAAATTTGCGCTTAACGTGAATTACTTTTTGTTAAATTAATTACCTTTAAAAGAATCTTTAGGCATATGTGCGTGTGTGTGTCTTACTAAAACTTTGTGGTTGGTAGGTAGTATTTCAGAATTTTATAAAAAATTTTCTGCCATGGAACTGACAATATTCTAATAGAGAAGATGATTTGATAGAGCATAGTGTTCAAAATGTTTGTGAGAAAAAATAATAATGATAATTCATGGCTATAGGATTTCAAATCCTTAATTAATAAAACTAATTAATTTATTGTGTAGCTGTATTTTTTTAAATTTTGTATTTTTTCATTAAGGAGTCAGTTAACCAATAGTTGTTTCTGTATTTATTATTTATTCATTACAGTTACCTAGCTTGTATACTTATCTTCAGCAGCAGCAGCATCAACAACAACAACAGCATCATCATTTACAACAGGCATGCATTCCATATGCATCAAACCTTTCCGTCTATCCATCCATTGCTTTTGGTTCATTTATCAAAGGTGACAATATTGGTTGGTGGTTGTTTCTTGGTATCTTTTCTTTTATAGGTTTTTTGTGTATTTCAGTTTTTAATTATTAATTCGTTTAAATGTTATTTTTTTAATTTTTCAATTTCTAGGTGGAAAAGATTTAACGACATCAATGGCATCGTTATCCTTATCTTCATCATCCCCATCATCTTCTCTCGTGCCAGCCACTCAAAAAGTTTTCGAATTTCATAATAAATAACTCTACTTTATAGCGTTAAAATCATTTTTCTTGATGGGTTAATGATATTTGTTAACGACATCAATGGCATCATTATCCTTATTTACCAAATTTAAACCTTCGTTAAAAAAATTTTTTCCCCAAATTATTTAACAACTTGAAGTATGTAATGTAAGTTAAACTATGGGGCTCGCCAATAATAATGATGATGATGATAATGATAATAATAATAATGAAACATAGTTTTTGAAATATTCTATAAATTCTACCGAATGTTTGGCGTTAATATAACAAGAGCTTAATATGTGGAAAAATACTAACACATACATAAATCATTTCTTGTATGCTTGGTTTTGTTGTTGTGCAATTTTGTTGCTGTGCGTAATAAATATCATTTGAACTTGTTTCATATTTTGCCTTACAGGATTCCTGGCTTGTGTGTCTCAACAACAGCAATAACAGTAACATTAATAATAATAATGATGACATTAATTTTAACAATAGTTTAATCTACAATTACAATCACATTAATAACATGGCTGATGCAAATAACATCAGCAGTTGCATCAACGCCAGGAATTATATCGTCTCTAACGCTATTAATGCTACGAAACAACTTCATAACAACAACAACACTAACAACAACAACAGCAAAAACAATAACAACAACATTAATAATGATGATGATGAAGGTGAAGATGATGACAAATTTAGAAGCTCTAGTGAAGTCGATACCATTAAGCCAGCTGACTGTAATAATGATAATAATAATGTTAATAATAACAATAGTCATAATTACAACAACGACAACAACAATAATGGTATTGATAATAATAATACAAATAATAATAATCTTGAATCTAAAAATAAATGCACGCAACTGAAATACTCCCCTAGTAAAAAGTCCTTCCAAAATGACAAGGGTGATAACAACAACAATAACAACAATAACAACAACAATAATAACAACAATAATAATAATAACCACAACAGAATAAAGAGTGGTAGTATTAGTAGTAGCATTACGTCAAAGGTAATTTTTTTCATTGAATTTTTTCTTATTCATCGTCATTTCATCCACATCATCATCGACACTATCACCATCTCAATCTTTTTGTTTCACCGTCGTGGCTCGCACTGCTTAGGTTTAATTGCAAAGAGAATCCGAATGAAAGATTCTCTTAGCGCTCTTGCCTCTGCTGCTATACAGTCACCTATCGGGGAAATTATTTGATTCTGATTTCATTTTTTTTTATCCATTCCTAGAGGCCTGCATCTTCGAACAGCTTGAAACTTGTCAACAAAAATTCATTCAACACTACTACAATTAATAATAATAATAATGATAAAAATAATAATAATAATAATAATAATAATGATAATAATAATAATAATATTAACAGCAATGACAATAATATAAATAATAATAATAACAATAGTAGTAATAATAATAAGATTAGACAGACAATTCCAGTTTATAATCGCCAACATCAGCAACAACAGATGCAACAGGCGCGATGTTCATCTCAACAGAATTCTGCAAAGTTGCAACAACAACATCAACAACAAGTTCAACAACAACATCAGCATTGTAACCAACAACAACATCAGCAGCGTCCACAACAGACAAAATCGAGTAAACCTTTTGACAAAGTTTTGTCACAAAAACAACAACAACAAAATCAACAACAGTCTGTTATAAAAAGACATCAACAGCAGCAATACAACTATGTTTACCAACATCATCAACAACAACATCAACAACAACAACAACATCAAAAACAACAACTCCCAAAAACTTACCAAGTCAAGTATGTAGTTGACTTAATTATTTTCAACTAAAAAATCAATTTTCAATTACACATAATAAATTCAACCGTTTTCTCATTCAGTTCATTCATTCATTCAATCATTCATTCATTCATTTATTTATTCATTTATTTATTCATTCAGTCATTCTTCCTTACTTTCTTTTACTACATGCCTTTATTTATTTAGATTATCATCTGTTTTATTGCATTGCCTAATGTAGTGTGTGGCTATTTGCCTGATTTTACTACCGTTACTACTACTACTGCTACTACTACTGCTTCTTTTTCTGCTACTACTACTACTGCTGCTGCTACTACTACTACTGCTACTACTACTGATGCTGCTGCTACTACTAATATTACTACTTTTACTACTACTACTACTACTACTACTACTACTGCTACTACTGCTACTAATACTACTGCTGCTGCTTCTACATAGTAGATATCACATGTGATATTAATACTGTTACTACGTTTCTTTGATAGTACTATTACTACCACTGCTACCGCTACTACTACTACTACCACCGATCTTGCTGCTACTACTGCTGCTGCTTCTACTACAGATACCACTACTACTACTATTGATACTAGTACTACCACTATTCTTATTAATCCAACGGAAGCTAATGATATTAGTATGCTACTGTTTAAAATAATGACATGAATGAGAATACTGAAGATGAAATGAGGATGTTGATAATAGTTTGCTAAACAAGTTTTTAGGGTAGGGTCTTTTTTTTCTTTACGATTCTAGATTTATTTTTTGGGTTTGATACACTTTTTTACTCGCGTGTATGTATGTCTGTGTGTGTGTGTGTGCGTACTTGTGTGTGTGTGTGCGTACGTGTGTGTGTGTGTGCGTGCTCGTGTGTATGTGTATGCATTTTTTCGTGTCATTATTTTGATGTTTTTATCGGCCTCATTCTTATACCATGGTTATCTTGAAGTTATATTTACTTATATGTATTTGTGTGAATGTCTGCGTGTGCGTGCGTGTGCTCTGTAATTCATCAACTAGATGTGAGAATAAGATATTTTATTACTGTTATTATTTATGTGGCAGTGAAAATGGATGAATGCATAAACGAATGAATGAATATGTAGACGAATGAATGTGTTGACGAAAGAATGAATGAATGAATGAATGAATGCGTAGTCGAATAAATGAATGAATGAATGAATTAATTAATTAATAAACGCATGAATGAATGAATGGATGAATAAACGCATGAATGAATGAATGGATGAATGAACGAATAAACAAACAAACAAACAAGCAAATAAAAGAATGAATAGTTGCTAAGGTAATGTTGCAAGCGAGATAAGGACTTGCTGAGAATTCTATTATCATTATTGCTAAATGGTTTACATGATCTGGTTGATGTAGTTTTTTTTTGTTGTTAGTTTTTCGTTCATTCAGTTTTGTTTATTTGTAGTAATGTGGTTCAATTAATAAAAATTATTCCTAACCAATAAAATTTATTCTTTTTTGTATCATCATCATTATTATTATTCTTCTGATGATGACTTCAAAGATGATACTGGCTGATGATACTATCTCGCGATAATACTATAGTATATATCATATTCATAATACTATGTAATGTATTACCACTTATAATGATACTAATACTATGATATTTCGGATAGGTATCTTTTTTTCTCTAAATGAAATGCCGCCTTATGATAGATTTTTACTAATTAGGAAGATACTATCTGACTGATACTAGTGATAGCTTGTTTTTAAACTACGTGATGTACTGTACTACTTATAATGATACTACTGATATGATACTAAATGATGATATTTCTATCTTGCTTGCTCAAGTTATTAAAATAGAAAGTATCTCTAAAAAAGAAAATAAATTGTTGGCGATGGTATTAGACGGAACGGTATGAAATTTTGTTCATTTGTTTAACATTTTTCCTCTCTATGCATAGTATTTGAGAACTGAGAATTAAAAATGAATAAATAATTTATAAATAATAAGAAAAAAACGGTTTATTATAAAATAAATAATAATAGAATAATTTTTAAATGGCTGAATAAAATAATACAACTAAAATTAATAAATGAAGTAAATTAAACCAAAAATAGCGTTGGTTTTAATGATTCTATCTATTCTCTCTACTCACACATATTCATTCATTTTTATGTATTTTTGAATTTAAATCAAAATTAAGAAACTTAAATTCATTTTTTCATATAAATAAATGTGTCTATATTTGATCCCTACTTAACCTATAGCAACAGCAACAGTAGACTCATCTGTTACAACAAAAAGTACAGCCAAAGTGTAAACAACAACAACATCAGCCGCAGCAGCAGCAATGCTAAAAATACCAACGGTACTAATACTATCACGTCCATACATACTTCTACTATTACTACTACCCCCACCACCACCACTTCTACTACTACTACTACTACTACTACTACTACTACTACTACTACTACTACTATAACCAGCTATGTGTATAGTAATACTACTAAGGCTACTAATGAAAAAAGTTACAGCGACGACGTTATTGGCAATACTTCTTTTACTACTACTACTACTACTACTACTACAAGTATTAACCCTAGCAAAACTAGAGCAAATGCATCTGATACTGTTGCTTCACATGTTCTCTATAATAATAAAAAATTGGCGGCCAATAATACTACTACTACAAGTAATAATCCCAGTTTATGTACGGCTGCAAGTAAGTTAGTTTCGCCATCTAGGCCATCAATGGTGAAAAAGTTGTCGGTAGCTATTGGAAATTCTGTAGCTGCAGCTTCTACTACTACTACTACTACTACCACTACTACCACTACTACTAAAGCCCACGTAGCCAGATTTGCGAAGCAGTACCCATCATCGTCGTCGTCGTTATCATCATCATTATCATCTTGTAAACCAATGCCATCATCATCATCAGTAACGGCATCGTCGTCGTCATCTTCGTCGTATCGTTATCCTTCTCGATTTGGGGCGTTTTCTTTATCATCATCTTCATCATCATCATCATCTTTTACGAAGGCAGCTACGAAACTATCAGCAACAACAGCTTCTTCTTCTTCATCATCATCTTTATCGCCATCCAGATTGTTATCATCTTTGTCAATAGCAACATCATCATCATCAACAACAACAACAACGTTACAATCATCATCAACAACAATAGTAACGACCACAGCCGTATCATCACCACCACCAACAACATCATCACTAACAACATCATCACCATCGTCATCATCACCATCTTCTCTTTCTCTCACCAAAGATAGGATTACCTCATCAGATCAGTCTATCATCTATTCAGACAAAATTAATCATGAGAGCTTTCGTTGTCCTATGCTAGATGATAAAACTTATAAGAATGACGAAATCATCTGTAACACAAACATCATCCACAACGAGTTTGAAGAGAATAAAGAAAATTATAATAATAGTAATAATTATTATTATTATTATTATAGTAATAATAATATCAAGGCGAGAAGCACTATTGACTGTATTTCGAAAGATATTGATTCGCTACTAGTTAGGTAAAAACGATATATAAATAGATTTGATGGATGGATGGATGAATAGATGGATTGATAAATTGATAGATAGATAGATAGATAGATAGATAGATAGATAGATAGATAGATAGATAGATAGATAGATAGATAGATAGATAGGTAGGTAGGTAGGTAGGTAGGTAGGTAGGTAGGTAGGTAGGTAGGTAGGTAGGTAGGTAGGTAGGTAGGTAGGTAGATATAGATAGATAAAGGAATGAATTAATGGATGGATGTATGAAGGAATAGATGAATGATTATGTAGGTAGATGAATAGAGAAATAGATAGATATATAAATAGATAGATGGATTATTCTTAGATAAACAAATGGAAGGGTTTATAAATAGATGAATGGATGATGAATGAATGAATGAATGAATTAATTAATTAATTAATTAATTAATGGATTTAGATATTCAAGCCAGATATATCATATTTTTTTTAATTTAAAAAATTTATAAATTTATTTTGAGTCTCTATCACTCCATCATCACACACAGTTCAGCTGATGTGACTAGAGCTAAAGGAGATAATGAAACAGCTGGAACTCTCTTTAGTCTATCGTCATCATCATCTTCGTCGTCGTCATCATCGTCGTCATCAGATGGAATGAAAAATGAAATGAAAGGAGTAGAAACGTGTATTGAGGATAATGAAGACGTTTTGATTTATAATAATGAAGGTTATGGAGAGAATGAGGATGATGATGAATATAGAGATGATGATAAACAACAGCAACAACATCATCATAGTCCTCTACAGCAACAGCAATCAACATTGCCAACTGTTGTTCACAGACTACACGAACCAAGACACCAACAACAACAACATCACTACCAACAACAATACCTACAGCAACAACAACAGCAGCAACAACAGCAAATCAACTATGCAACTTTTCTTTTCTACCAACAATTTCTCAAGAAACAACTTCAGCTGCAGCAGCAGCAACAACAACAACAACACCAGCAACAACAACAACAGCATTATCATCACCAACAACAACAACACCAGCAACAAGCTTTGTTTAATTTTCTCGCTCAGCAACAACAACTTCAACAACAACAACAACAACAACAACATTTTTCTCCATATTTCTTCTTGCAACGACCTCAACAACAACAACTTATACCTCAAGATGGTAGTCCACAGGACGAAATATCACCTCCTTATTCTTACTATCCCATTGCAATCAACAACAACAACAACAGCATTAATTACAACGGTTACAACAACAACAACTACATACAAGCCCATTGTGGATTCTACGCATATTCTCTGCCAAACAACAACAACAATCTATTTAATAGTAATAATAATAATAATCTGAATAA